GCTCCGAGGAGCCCAGCAGCGCCGGCGGCCTCAGCAGCAGTTGCAGCGACCCGAGCCCTGCCGGGGAATCGCCGAGCCTGGACTCCCTGGAGTCGTTCTCTAACCTCCATTCTTTCCCCAGTAGCTCCGAGTTCAATAGTGAGGAAGGAGCGGAGAGCAGGGTCCCGGAGGAGGAGGAGGAGGAGGAAGAAGAGGAGGGGGAAGAGGATGCCGCGGCGGTGTTGCCCGGGGCTGTGCCCCTGTGCAGAGGGGAAGAGGAGGAGGAGGGGGAGGCAGCTCAGGTGCTCGCGGCCTCCAAGGAACGCTTCCCGGGACAATCTGTCTATCACATCAAGTGGATCCAATGGAAGGAAGAGCACACACCCATCATCACCCAGAATGAGAACGGACCCTGCCCTTTGCTGGCCATCCTCAATGTTTTGCTTCTGTCCTGGAAGGTACATGCTGTAGCTTCCTATTTCCTACAGCTTTTGGGGAGGAGGGAAATGGGGTAGGGGAGATGCTGCAGATCAGCGGATGGCTTCCTCCTTTCTTTCCTCATTCATCAGTTCCCTTTTCTTATTTACATGAGATTCATTCGGGGACTCCGAATTATACGTCTATCAGAAAGAATTGCTGGCAACCTCAGGTCTCAGTTAAATAGGAGTTTAATATTCAGTTGTGATTGATACGCTCACAAAAAAACTAGGGCTTAGAACATCCTGAATCCTACGATCATTTTTAAACTATATTTTTTATTTATTTCTTCTTACTGACTTTATCACATATGTAAAAGAGCGAATAATAGGGGAAAATGGTTTTCAGAAGTTATCATCAATCCATGATGTCAGGGACCAGGTTCTAATGATTATGTTCAGTCTGTTTCTCAACTAATGCTTGTTCCATTTGGGTGTGGATACTCAAAGGAAATGGTGATAGGGAAGATGTGGCCCCTTAAATTCCATTTAAGGAAAAGTATTGGTCTGAGACCCAATTACCACAACTTCTTGGTTTTCAAAGATTATATTTTAAATTTATGCATGATTTTTACTTGCCTCCTCTTTGGCTCTTCTTAAATAATTTGGCATTATCCCCAGTAACCATGCATCAGAATGTGTTAAGGGAGCTAAACTTGTAACAACTAAAATAAGAAAAGGTATATTCAAGGTAAAGGACCATAAAAGGGAGGGCCTTCAAAAGTAAGCATATTGAAGACTCAGAGTGAGTTACCTATAAATAGAGTATCATATCTGAGCTTGCAGTTTCAAGGTGTTGAGAAGATACATCTCAGCATATTTTATTTTCAAATTGATAATTATGTCTATAGATAAAATGTTCCCTAGAAAAAAATAACCTGGGGTGTTCTGGCCAGTTAAGGCGTAAATCAAGTTAAGGGAATAAATACTATTGTATTTATTATATGCCTTCGTCTCCCTGTTACTAGAAAGGTTTGATGCAAAAGAAATAGGATTGGAAATCTTACCAGTATCTGGTACATCCTGGCACTCGAATGTTTTAAATGAAAACTGTGCCTGCTCTTAAGGCTATTGGGGTTGTAGCATTGACTTACTTGAAATTATCAAAGAGCAATAGCAAGACCATACACTATAAATACTAGGTTATAGGAAACAGATTGAAATACACTGGATATCTCAAAAGGGGAAATTTTCCTTTGATCTGGCATAGTCACAGAGAGCTTCCTGAAATCTTTGGGTCTTGAACCAAGCTTTTAAAGAAAAGTAGAATTTAACAAGTCAATGGAATTCCTGGGAAAGAGAAGAGTATAAACACACGGGGGAAAAACAGAATAAAGAGAAAGGGAGAGAGAGAGAGAGAGAGAGAGAGAGAGAGAGAGAGAAAGAGAGAGAGAGAGAGAGAGAGATAGATGGATGACAGGGGTGGTCAGTTCATATTGGAGAATAATAGAAAATAAAATTGAAAGGTAAAGAAGAGCCACTTGATGCAGGCCCTTGATGCAGAGTAGGGAATTGGATTTGATCCTGTGGTTCAGAGTTCCCAGTCTTTTTGTAGGAAGGTTATAACAGTTTCCTTTAAACTTCTTTTTTTTTTCTCTCTCTTAATTTCTATATAGTACTGCAAAAGTTCAGAGGAAGGAAAAAAATACTATGGAATATTTGGGGATAGATGAGCATTGAATTGACTCTTTTAAATATATTTTTATTGATTTCAAAGAGGGAGAGAGAGAGAGAAACATCAGTAATGAGAGAGAATCATTGATTGGCTACCTCCTGCACAAACCCCCACTGGGGATCAAGCTCACAACCCAACTTGGGCATGTACCTAACTGGGAATCGAACCATGACCTCCTGCTTCATAGGTCGATGCTCAACCACTGAGCTACACTGGCCAGGCTGAACTGACTCCGAAAGACATGACTTCAAGTGAATGATCAAATGTTTGGGTTCCCACTATGAGAGGTACTAGAAATAGAAAGACCAATACGACGCAAGTCTGGCCCTAGCTGGTTTGGCTCAGTGGATAGAGTGTCGGCCTGTGGACCATAGGGTCCTGGGCTTGATTCTGGTCAGGGGCACATACAAGGGTTGCAGCCTCCTCCTGGGCCCAGCTTTTGGTCAGGGCTCATGCTGGAGGCAACCAATCTATGTGTTTCTCTCACATCAGTGTTTCTCTCTGTCTTCCCCTCTCTCTTCCACTCTCCCTAGAAATCAATGGAAAAATATCCCCGGGTGAGGGGTGAGGATTAACAAAAAATAAAAAGATGCAAGTCTGCTCTCATATAGGTCTGTATTAGTGGAGAGACAGACTTATGAACAGTAATTACGGTGCATTGTGAGAAGTTCTAAATGTGCTATGGAATTAAAGAAAAAGGGGTAATTGGGAATGGGATGTGTTAATAGAAAGCTTCAAAGAAGTGATAACCTGTGAATTGGGTCTGAAGGATGAGTGAGAGAAGGTCTTCCACACAGAGGGAATACTGTATTCAAAGATACTGAAGCAGAGAAAGGTTTGTTCTATTTGGGGAGTACGGTGGAGGAGGGGAAAAAATGCAATCGCAGGAAATAAAATTAAATTGCAGGCACGTTAATGAATTTGAAGATTATTTTATAAACCTATGGTTCTTAGTCTTCTCTCTGCCTCTAGGCCAGTGGTTCTCAACCTTCTGGTCCTTTAAATACAATTCCTCATGTTGTGACCCAACCATAAAATTATTTTCGTTGCTACTTCGTAACTGTAATGTTGCTACTGTTATGAATCATAATGTAAATATCTGATATGCAGGATGGTCTTAGGCGACCCCTGTGAAAGGGTTGTTCAACCACCAAAGGGGTCGCGACCCACAGGTTGAGAACCGCTGCTCTAGGCTATTACTGCGCACAAAAGTTACAAATCAGTAATCTTCAGTGGTTGATAGGGAGACAGGTTAAAAGAATTAAGGTTAGATAGAGCAGTGTTCTTAAAGTGAGCCAGGGGTTCTAGAGGCAAAAAATATTTTAATAATAATACTAAGATGCTATTTGCCTTTTCATTCTTATTCACAAGTGCCAGTGGAGTTTTCCAGCCTGCATGATGTGTGATGACATTGCTCTGACATCTAGTAGAATGTGTGCTTGTGTATTGTGTTTAAAACTTATCTCAGTTTTCATTTTCAGTATGGTAAGTATCGATAGATGTAACCCATATAGCTCTTTGGGGACCTCAAAAATTTTAGGACCGTAGAGGGTTCTAAAACCAAAAAGTTTGAGAAATGCTATAGTAGAGAAAAATAGTAAATAGGGTATGAAGGTAGGTATCAGATTTCAGAGGACCATCACTGGGTGTGTTTAAACTTTATATGGTATATATATACTAGAGACCCGATGCACAAAATTTGTGCACGGGGGGAGGGGTCCCTCAGCCTGGCCTGCGCCCTCTCACAATCCGGGACCCCTCGGGTAGGGTCCTTAGGCCTGGCCTATTTGGGCTTTACTTCCCCCAGTTGCCAGCAGATAGCCCTGCCCCCATTGCTGCCACTGCTTGCCATCTGTGGGATGCTGTCCCCCTTCCCTGCCACCGGTAGCCTCCCTCTATGGCGATAGGCATAGGGTGGGATCGCTTGGCTGGCCTGGGCCTCCCTTTGTGGGCGATCTGTGGGGGAGCCCAGATCAGTCGTCCCACAGAGGGAAGCCCTGCCCACCCGCCATAGTGCAGCTGCCAGTCGGGTAGCCTGGGCCTCCCTCTTTGAGGTGATTGGTCACTGCCCACAGAGAGGCCCTGCCCACCTGACCAGGGCTCCTTGATTGATCTCTGGGCAGAGGGTGGCCTGGGTCTCCCTCTGTGGGGCGATTGTGGGGGATGGCAGGGCCCTCCGACCCCAGACCAATGGCATCACACCCACCTTGGCTGGCCTGGCACCAATGCGTGTCATAGTGTGGTCGTCTGGAAGGTCATCTAGATGGTCTTTCTGCTATTAAGTAGTTTGGTCTATTTGCATATTATGCTTTTATTATTATAGATAGAAGGTGTTGGAGTTTATTTTTGAGGATCAATTAGTGAAATTTTAGGCATGAAAATTTTACGTTTCCTTCAACCTCTCCACATTGCACGGATTCGTGCACTGGTGGGGTCCCTCGGCCTGGCCTGCGCCCTCTTGCAATCCAGGATCCCTTGGGGGATGTTGGAGAGCCGGGTTCAGCCCGATCCCCACAGGCCGAATCCAGACAGGACGGAGCCAGATCCTGTGCCTGGATGTTCTGTCTCCTGGTGGTCAGTGCCAGTCATAGCAACCTGTCGATTGGTCATTCAGTCGCTTAGGCTTTTATATATAGAGATATCCCACGTTCAAAGGCTGTTAAATCGCATTGTTTACCCATATCTTCAGGAAAAAAATCACTTCTACTGTTGTGGTAAACAACCTGCTTCCCTATTTATAATGGTCTGGCCCTCTAGCAACTTCAGCGCGAAATTATAACTAATTTGCCTACAAACGTCAGGTGGTCATAATAATCTGGCCACTCAGTGTATATAGCTGATATTAGGGAGTTATTATAAATTACTAGACAGAGGAATGACATGGTGAAAGTGGTCTTTTTGCTTGAGATTAGATGAGAATTAAGACTGTAGTGAGTGTAGCAGAAAGAATTGATAAGCCTAGCTCTTTTGGATTGGAAATTCTTTGCCCCTTCTCTTTGATGTCACGGTCTAAATGATGATCACTACCTGGATAAAGGAAATGAAGAAGATGGCACCACTTTTTCTAATCTGGGCAATGGAGATTTCTTGGGCCATTCAAAAGATAGAGAAGGTGTTTTAGGTGGGAAAGTTGATGTCAAAGTTAGATCATGTCAGGTTGGAAATGTCTGAAAAAAATATAAATGTTCATTATGCCTCTAGAAATATGGACTGGGTCAGGATAGAGGGGAAAATTATAGAAAAAATTGAATTAGGGAAACATGACATAGGTTTAAGTAAGTATGATAACTATAAGAATAAATGAGAA